GGCGGGGGCCGGGGGTGGGGGGGGGGGTAGTGGAAAGCTGGGTCACCCCTGCCCTCTGGGGACCCCCAGCAGGAGGGGTGGCCGGTGGGGAGGCATCCTCCCTGCTCTCTTCCACCTTGGCCACAGGCTCGGAGCTCGGGGAACTGGCTCACAAGCCAGGAGGAGGCAATTTTGAACAGCAGCTGTGCCTTAAGAGCCCAGGACAAAGGTACGGCTTCTCACGGTGGGGACTGTCCCCTCCCTGGCATCTGGGACACTAAAGCCCTCTCCCCCCCGCCGTAGTGCCCTACGAGATCTACAGACCGGACCATTCGTGCCTGATCACGGTGCTGCCCGTCAACGCCTCGGTGCGGGATGTCTTGCGGTCCCTCGCCCCCCGGCTCGGCCGGGATGGGGAGCACATCCTGGTGAAGGTGAATTCGGCTGGAGGTGAGCGGGCTCTTCCAGGGATGCCACCATGCATAGGCTGCCACTGCGCCATGGTGACAGTTGCCCCGTGCCCAGCCAGGATCTGGCCCCTTCTCCATCCTGGCACCGACCGTCCTCTCTCCCGCAGATAAAGTGGGGCTGCAGCTGGATGCCGTGGGGGTGTTCACAGCGCTGGGGCTCAATGAGAGGCTCTTCGCCGTGAGCGTGGAGGAGCTGGGCAGCCTGGTGAGCACCGGGTGGGGGGGTCCCCAGGATGGGCAGCACCAGGCTGGCCCCCTGAGCGGGGTTTGGGGCTGCAGTGCTTCCATAGCAGCTCAGGGTTGAGGGTGTCCGTCCCTCCCTGCTCCTCTCCCCCCCGGGGAAGGGCTGGTGTTGCCCTCCCTGCTGCGGTGGCTAAAGGCAGGAGGGGTCAGGCATCCTCTCCTGCACACAGACCCCCCACCCCGAGCAACTGGGACCCCATGTCGGCTCCTCAGAGACCCTGGACCTCATCAGCTCCAAGGACCTGGCCAGCCATCTCACCGACTACGACTGGAACCTCTTCAAGAGCATCCACCAGGTAGGGCCAGCGCCCAGACTGCAGCGGGAGACACCTCCGGGGTGGCTTTCGGGATACCCCTCAGCTGCCGCCTTGGGCTTCGCAGGTGGAAATGATCCACTACATCGTCGGGCCGCAGAAGTTTCACGACGTGACCACGGCCAACCTGGAGCGGGTCATGCGGCGCTTCAACGAGCTGCAGTACTGGGTGGCCACGGAGCTGTGCCTCTGCCCCGAGGTGGGCAGGCGAGCCCAGCTCCTCCGCAAGTTCATCAAGCTGGCTGCACAGTGAGTGCCTCACCGCCTGCATCCCGGTCCTGCGAGGACAGAGCCGGTGGTGACCTTCTTGCCTGACTCTGTCCCTGCCTGCAGCCTCAAGGAGCAGAAGAACCTGAATTCCTTCTTCGCGGTGATGTTTGGTGTGAGCAACACGGCCGTCAGCCGCCTGGCCAAGACCTGGGAGGTAACCGCCTTCGGGCTGCTGCCAGCCCTGTGAGGTCCTCCGTGGTCTGCAGTGATGGATCGGGGTCCCCTGGCTTGGGCAGCGGGCAAGGGTGGCCCGGGTGCTGGGGTCCAGGCAGAGCCTGCACCCATAAGCTCTGAGCAAGGGAGCTGCTAAGGGCAGGGAGCGCATTTCCCACCGGGCAGGGGGCCAGGATCAGTCCCTGGGTCTGGTTAGACCCAGCCAGGGGCCAAAATACCCCATACTGGAATGGCAACGGGCTCCGAACATGTTGCTCATGGGCACCCGGAGCAGGCGGTGTTGCAGAGCCCACGGAGGTGGAATGAGGCGGGTGGAAAGCAGAAGGTTCTGGGAGAGCTGGGGGGGGGGTCTCTGGGGGTGGGAGAGCCGGGGTGCCAGCGCCGGTGACCCTCTCTCTGCGCAGAGGTTGCCCCACAAGATCCGGAAGCTGCATTCGGCGCTGGAGCGGATGCTGGTGAGCGCAGCCCCTTCCCTCCCCGTATCCCCCTTCCTGGTAGGGTTTGCCCCTGCTTCCCAAAAGTTGCAAAGTCACAGGGGTGCCGTGGAAGCGCTGGCCCCCCCACTTTTTTCCCCTGCACCCGTGGCAGGCAGCAGCCAGGGCTGTGTCCCCTGCCTGCCCCGCGCTGAGGTCCCGCTCCGTCCCCAGGACCCGTCATGGAACCACAGGGTCTATCGCCTGGCCGTCGCCAAGCTGAGCCCCCCCATCATCCCCTTCGTGCCCCTTCTCCTCAAAGGTGGGTACCTCAGCTTGGAAGCTGGCGGGCCTTTGCTGGGGGTGCCGGTGGGAATGGGTTGGGCTGGGGTGGCGGGGACCCCTTTGGATACATCCAGCCCTCCCCAGGGAGCAGGAAGCCAAATCTGATCTCTAAATGCCCCTCCCCAGACATGACGTTCATCCACGAGGGCAATCGCACGCTGGCCGAGAACCTCATCAACTTTGAGAAGATGGTGAGTGGGGCGGGTTGGCTCCCCACGGACCCCCACTTTAGGGGACCTGCTGTCCCCCCATCCCCTGGGATGCAGATCCAGAGCATCCCCGCGGCATTAGCGCAGACCCCCCAGCAGCCAGGATCCCTGGGGGGGCACGGGGCAGCTGCAGCCGCCGCTGAAGCCAGAGGGGACTGTGTTTTACCAGCCTGGGAGCAAAGTGGGGCCAGGTGACAGCAAGTGACCTTTGTGCATTGCCCACAGCACATGATGGCAAAGACCGTGCGTGTCCTGCAGCGCTGCCGGGGCCACGCACATGGTGAGTGTTCCCGGCTGGGGGCAAGGATGGGGCTGGGCACCAGCACTCCTTTGGGATGGGGCTGAGCTCCTGCTCTCTGTCTGCACCCAGCTCCGCTCTCCCCGCTGCGAAATCGCTCCCCGCACCGGCCAGAGGACCCCAAGGCCATCAGGATCTCCACATGTACGTCTGGGGTTTGCCCATCCATCCCCCACCCCTGCGCTGGGAGACCCCCACCCCTGCACTGGGAGACCCCCACCCCTGCACCGGGAGACCCCCACCCCTCGGGGCTACGTGGGGCTGGATGAGGCCAGCCCAGGGGAGCGTGTACCCACCGTCCTTGTTGCGGGGGGGGGTGTCCTGTGGGGACATCCTGAGGGCATCAGCCTGGCTACAGTGGGTGAAAACTGGTCCAGATGCTGTCGATGCCTCGGAGTACCCAGGCATGGAGGCTGAGCTCCCTCTGCTGAGTGGTGCAAGCCCGTGGGTTGCACGCTGCTGGCTGGAGGCACCAGTCAGCAACTCCTCGTCCTGAAGAGAGTCACGGAGTGCTTCCAGCATGTCTGAAGCACTCTAGTTGTTAGGGAGCAAGTCTGTCCCCGCTTGCTCCTGCTCCTTCAGCTCCAGTGGGTTCCTGGAGGTGATGGAAGGGATCCGTTGAGCTGAGGGAGAAGGGATGGAGGGGATCCATCAGCCAATGGAGGCGGGATGGAAGGGGATTTGTGAGCCAGGGGAGAGGTGATGGAGGGGATCCATGAGCTGAGCAAGAGGCGATAAAGAGGCATCCTCCAAGCTGGAGGTCATACAGAGGTTCGATGAGCTAAGCTAGAGGTGATGGAGGGGATTGAGCCAAGCCAGCAGCAGTGGAAGCGGATCAGTGCGTCAAGCAAGAGGCAGTGAAGGGGGATCCATGAAATGAGCCAGCGGTGATGGAGAGGGTTGGCAAGTTGAGCCAGAGGCGATGGAGGGGGATCAGTGAGCCCAGCCCTGATCTCAGCTCTCCCTGGCAGGCTCGGAGCAGTCCCTGAGCGTGCGAAGCCCCGTCTCCACCTGGGCGTACCTGCAGCACCTGAAAGCCATCGACAGCCAGAAGGAGCTGCTGCGGCTTTCCCACGACCTGGAGTCCTGACCGGGATGGACGGCCGGAGGGCTGGAGGGGCACCGGAGGAGGGATGCCGCAGCCTGTCTGCCGGTGGCGGGGGCAGCCCCGTGGCTCTGCTCCCAGTAGCACTGGGCACAGGGCTGTGTTGGAGCCAGCCGAGAGCAGCCTCTGCTCGGCCGTGCCGCCGGCTGTGGGCACCAGGTCTGGCACCGCAAGGCAGCCGGCAGCCCATGTCGGCTGCGGGCAGGCGAGGGCCATGGACAGCAGAGTGAGCAATAGAGGTATTTTTGTATGCAAGGCTGCACTCCCTTTTCTTCTTCATGCAGCAGCCTGGATTCACTCCCTGCACTGGCCCCGGGGGGAGGAAGGAGCCCTGGCTGCCCCCCGATGCTGCCGACCCTGGAGGTGCCAGGCTGGAAGATGCCCCTTCCTCCCGGAGGGACGTAAGCCAGAGCATCCCTATGAGCAGGGAACGCCACGTCTGTCTCCAACAGGGTGCAGACACCCAGGCTGAGCTCAGGGTCTGGCTCACGCTGCCCCACGGATCCTGCAGGCAGCCCCAGAGGGGACCTGCCCTTCCCTCTGTCCTGTGTGTCCCATAGGAGTTGCTGGCTGTGTCCCCTGTCCTGGCCTCTGGGAGCTCCGTGACCCCAGCAGCCACAGGGGAGGTATCTTGATCTTCCCCAGGACTGTTGGGGCTTAAACCAGCCCATGCTGCCAAACCTTGGGCTAATCATAACCTTCTCCGTGCCTCAGTTTCCCCACATGGATGGGGGCAGGACTAGCCACGTACAGCCGTGACGCAGAAGCAGGACAGCATCCCTCATGGAAGGAAGCTGTGGTGGCCTCGTGGTGGAGATGGTGATCTGCTCTGGCGGTTCCCAACCCACGCCCAGTTGCTGCTGGGCTGTGAGCAGGGGTTTGGGGACGATGTCTTTGAAGGAAGCAGAGCTGACAGACCCCAGGGGTGAGGACCACCATCTCTCCACCCAGAGCATCTCTGTATGCGCACAGAACAGTTTTAGCAATGACCTTCCCAACGCTCTGAGCAGGCCTGGATGAAGCTACGGGGTGCAGGGGAGATCGCAGCCCCTAAAAGCTCCCACGTTTGGAGGGTACCAGTGTGGGGGAGCCTTGCAGCCCCTGGCAGGTCCATGCCCCAGCTGGGACACCATGGAACCACAGCACGGAGCCACAAGCCAAAGCCCCCCCAGCCTTGCCCCAAGTATGGCTGGGCTACGAGGGGCCAGAGCACTGCTGCATTAATTGCTCTTTTCAGTCTCGCCATGCAGATGAATGGGTTGCTTAAAATAAAAGTCCCCATCATACCTAAATAATGTTTCAAGCTGTGCAGCCAGCTAAGAGATGGGATGTGGGTTCCTTGCAGCTCCCAGCACCACGTCCATCCCAGGACCACCAGTTGCCCCGCAATGCGAAGCCTGGCTTGGTGGTTCCCTGCAAGGCAGTGGGTGGCCGTGCTCGATGGGGACCACGTTTTGACACCTGGCATCTCCCAGGTTTCTAACTCCAGCCCCATGCATGGTCCCAGCAGCACGCGCGTCCAGGCAAGCCAGGGCAAAGCAGAGAGGCGATGGCAATTCCTTGGCATCTGGACCCAGCAGCCCAGACTTCCCGCAGTCACCTTTCCCAGGATGTCTGCCCTGAAGGACCAAAGGAGCCTTGAAATGAAAGAGCTTGTGCATGGGGAAGGAAGGGTTAAACCAGAGTTGCACATTTTCTGGGTGTTTCTGGGCCTGCAGATTACTTTCAGTCTGCAGGTTGGCTGGCGGGGTCAATGGATGTGTCTTGGGGCTTTCCCTTCCTCGGCTGCAGGCGGAATGCTGGCCCGGTCAGCTAGCTTGGCTGGAGAAATCTCCAGTCGAATGGAAAAGTTGACCCTTGTCTGGTTTTTCCAGTGCAGGCTGTGAAGAGCATCCCGTTGGGGAGCTCACCGCGGTCCATGCATGTCCACAGCCCACAAGCCTGTATCCTCCACAAGCTGTGTTTTCCCTAGGAGCACGAGCACAAAGGTCCAGCCCCACCAGCAAATGCCATGGAGCTGCAGAAGCCCTGTGATGTCCTGGAGGGTAAGGGAAAACCTGGAGAGATATTCTGGAAAAGGGCAACGAGTCCAGGGCGGGCAGAGAGGAGGATGGCAGGAGGGGATAGGGATGAAGCTCAGTGTTGGGCAGCCCTGCTCATAGAAACACCGGACTGTGCAAAAATAAGAGGCTGGATGCCTGCCTCCTTGAACAAGGTAAAGCCAGGGTCTGGACGAGGGTGTAATGCAAGGGGCGAGAGCTAACGGCATTGTTGGGCACAGGAGCAAGCATGGCTGCCCAGCTTCCACTCCTGCATCCCCAAGTCTGGGGCTTGCATCTTGGCAATTCCCTTCTCCTCTCCTCGGCTCTAATGCAAGAGCAACACGAAGCCAGCCCTGGGGTGCTTGACTCACCGCCCTGCTGCAAGACACCTCATGGGCGAGCACCCTGAACGGGGTCCCAGGGTTCCATGACAGCCGGCAACACTGTCGTTCTGTCACCAGTGACTGACACTGGACCATGCACGCACCTACCCACTCTTGTTCCTGGACCTGCAAACCTTGAGAGTGGGTGAGGAGAGGCAGGTTGTCCCCAGAAGCTCGGAGGGCTTTGGTGTTTGCAGGTCCAGCACTGCTTGAAGGTAGAGGTGGGAATAAGATGTGTTGGACCACAGGGGTATGCAAGAACGGCAGGCGAGGAATGCTCACACCAGCCCACCGGCTTCTGGAAGGTATGGCTGAGAAACAGGGACAAACATGCTGTTCCCACGTCTTTGCTGGTGGAGCTGACACTCCCAGTTAAGCCCAAGACAAAAGGCATCATCTTCCACGGTAAGGTTGGGAAAGTAACCTTCTGCAAGAAGAGACGGGCCCCACCTCCGTCCTCCCCCATGGTGGGCATCCAGCTCCCTCACCGAGAGCTGCGGGACTTGCTCCATCTCCAGGCACTGCAGCTCCTGCTCTTCCTGGGCATCTCAGAGATGCAAGACAGATGCACGATGGCTGCAGCCATCCATCCAACATCCAACCCCACCGACGTGAGCGCCTCACCCCCAGCAGGGCTTGAGCACAGCCCAAAGTTGGGGAAAGGTTGGCTTGCACATGAACCAGTTGATGGACTCAAAGAGCAGCCTCAGCACAGGGTGACACAAAGATGTCAGAAAAAACAAGGCTGCTGTCAGGGGGGACAGGTCAGCAGAGTCACCAGCCCAGGGCAGAGAGTAGGAAATGACTGAGGGGTGAGAAAGAAGCCAAACCTGGTCCTTATTACACCAAATGCTGGTCTCCTGTGCCAGCTAATGCACCCTGAGGAATTAAGGCTGTTGCAACGCTGCTGTGTCGGCAGGATGAATTGCAGGCAGCTCCTGCCTGCTTTGCTGATAGAAGTTAGAAATTGTCTCCCTTTGGCTCAGATGGTGTTTGGAGGTCAGTTATCACCGGCCGAGGTGGAGGTGCCCAGGGAGTGAACCCCTCCTTGGTGGGGAGAGCTTGTCCTGGACCTGCTGCTTCTGGTGATGAAAGCTTTGGGAGTGTGGCCGTCTGGCAGCCACCGTGGCAAGCAGCCCAGGAGAGTCCGGGACTGTTTAGAGAAGCTCCAGGAGCCTCCGGCTGGGGACTCTTCCTGGCTTTGCATCATTGCAAACGCCTGGCCAAACCAGAGGGACGGGGACCACAAGAGACCAGCCAGTATTGGAGCATCCTTTGGGGGTCTGTTGCAGGGCATGGGTGAGGAGGCAGAGAAGTGGCTGCTATAAATCATTTGGGCTTTGGGCAAGGCTTGTGATAAGGCTTCCTGAGAAACCTTGTCATCGTGTGAGGAGAAGCTGGAAACCAGCTGGTGCCTGTGATGGACCCTCAGGTGCAGCACCGACACATTCTGTTGGTCTCTTCGTTATTTTCCTGGAAAGACAAGGAAGGTCGATGCTTGCGGACAATACAATCATGCTCCCTGATGGATGAGTTGAAGTCAGCCCATGCCGGCTCTTGAGGCGCCATGGCTGGGAAGAGATGGGGAGATGTGTGGAAGAGCTGAACTTCCCCAACATCCTTCAGCAGCAAAACGGGTTGAGGAGGTTCCTTCCTGCTTGCCTCAGTGCACTGCTTTCCAAACCAGAGTGGGAAAACAGCAGTTTTTAAACCAACCTCCAGAAGGATGGTGAGTTAGGTCTGGATTATTTTCCTGATGCGGTTTTGAGTGCAGCTCCGTGAGCGGCTGAGCTGGGCAGCGGAGGGATGTGGATGGTGATCGGCTCATGGACAATTGCGATGCCCTTTTGGAAACAGGGAGGCTGTGCCACGGTTCAGAGGCAGCGTGAAGATGCCCTTGGAGGCAGGATGGGCGCTGACCTATTCCAGTCTGGTCACTCCCATGCCTTTGGGTGTACTGGTCAGCACATATGACACACTCCAGGACTGGGAACCAGTGGGAGCCAGGCCCCCTGCTTGGCTGTGGTAGCATGGAAAGCTGTCTCTCCTGCCAGATACACCAAAACACCCACCATCTGGGAACATCTTCTGCTGGGATGCACTGAACTGAGCCTGAGCTGGTCCCGCTGTGGCCAGCAAAGAGGTTGATGACCGTGCCAGGCATGACCTGAGCTCCCCCTCGGCATTACCCGCGGCTGTGGAGGCTCCCTGGAGAAGGGCAGCCCCACGCAGGGTGGGGATGCCCCAGCTCTGGGCTTGCTCCAGGAGTGAGACCACACTGGGATAGCCCACAAAACCTACTCCCTGAGCAGCCTCAACACTGAAGCCTGGCTTGTGGTTATGTCTGAGGGTTTCCTTGTGCTGCTGGAAGACCTGGAGGCTTCAACCAAGGCTGGTCTGTACTGTAAGTGGGGCACAGCCTCCAGAGACAGGAGCTGAGGAAGGAGAAATCATTACCTCCAATTAACTGGGGAGCAGAAAGTTGCCCCCAGTTAGCAGCAGTTGCACGGGAGCATGTGGCACATCACGGGATCAAGCTGTGGCACTGCTCACAGCTCCC